TTAGTGAAACTACTTGAGCTTTTGACTTGGAGAAAAGGCCGATCTGTCAACTTTGGTGTATTATTTCAGAAAAGACACCAAAGGTCCATCCAGCAGCTCACCACCAAGAAGCCATCTGCAGCTACATAACAGGTGACAAGCCACAGCTATAGCTGAGTTCTTAGCAGCTCTTTCATGAGGTTCCTACACCTAACTTAAGTCCCATGTGACACAATTAGAAATGTGCTATTTAGAAAAGGTATATGATAAGGGCTGAAATTAAGAACTATTGAAATAAGTGAAATGTTTTCTCCATTCTGGCTTCATTTACCTCTTCTTACTCTAAAATCAAGGAGACTGCTAATGTTTTGTCCAAATTATATGGCATAAATTGTCATCTTTATTTAGGCATTTCTTTTCCTGTGTAGACATTACTCACTTCTGATGTAGTTATAAAGCAGTGTGAAATGCTTAAAAAGATCTGCAAATTTTAAAACCTGCCAATTGTTACCTCTTTTAATTGAGTCTCAGAAAGCTTATCATGAACTCTATACAAAATTAAATGGTTTTCTAATGTGAGGTATATTTGTGTGATTTTTTTGCATTATAAAGTATTGGACACAGAATTTTTAAAGCATTAATAAACTTCTACATTAGTAAAATAGCAGGATGTTAAAATGCTTCATTAAGATACACACACATACTGAAATAAACCATCCAACTCAAGCACTAAAGTTGGTCTCTAACATGTTAAAAAAAAACTCCCTCCTAAACCAAATATAGTAGGGGAGAACCATTAATATGAAATAGTATTAATATGAAAATTGGTACATAAAGCCAATGTTTCAAATTTATTGTTTTTCCTAAATTAACCATCTGTCAGAGTAACAAAATAGTTGAATGGGTTTTCAATCAAAAAGAGAAACCAAAATCAAGGTCAAAAAACAAAGGGTTATGCTTCATTTCTATTTCCATGTAGCGTAATGTGATCTCCCTGTTTAATTTGCGTTCTGTGTGTGCAGCTGCTTTTCACTGAATTCCCCAATTGCTAAAATATAAATCATTTCAGAGACCGTAAAAATAAAAATTCTTTCATCCCAACTTTATACAAATCATAATTGAGAGAAATAATTTATACATAATCTTTTGTTTACTTACATCCTAATATTTCTATTTTTACATAAAACAAAGTTAAATGGCAGATAGCTGTCTGATTTTGCTCATTTTTTGCCTCACATAAAACTGCCTTGACTGAAAAGGGTTTAGAATTTTATGCTTATCTTTTGTTTTGAGATACTGCTAAGGTTTGTAAGCACTGGAAGAGGGATTTTACTATACATTTGACACTAGCAGAGGGAACTTTACGTTTTGGAGAGAATTGCTTTAGTTTAAAATTATATTCTTTCCATATGCTTCTTAAACTGTCTATCTTTTATGATTATACAAAAGTTCATTACATTTTACCTCAACAATCTCAGCCTATTTACTTTGCAAAGATGTATTTACCATGTATTATGACTTTTCTACCAAGTATAAAAAAAATTGATACTGTCACCAATAAAGTATCTGAACAGACTTAAACTAATTGATTTATTTAGTTTTTGTTTAGATTTGCTTAGTTTTATTATTCAGAAATAACATTTTAGAAGCTTTTCTCTATAAGATACTATTTTCTGACTTAATATATGCCAAAATGCTTTCTTCTTTTAAATTTCTTCCATCTAGTTAACGCCTATTTTCACCAAAAGTTCTCTGCTTAGGGTACTTCCTCAAATAGTGTCCTTCTAATTAACCCTCCATTCATCCTACGCTCTGTGTTATGGTTTCAATCTAGAGTTCTCACTCAAAGCTTTCCTGTGCTCAGGGGTGGGGCTTTTGGAAGGTGATTGGATCATGGGGGTATCCAGTGAATCAAGGCACTGGTGAGTTCATAAATGTGCTCTTCTTTCCTAACAGAATGGGGCCCATTTGGAGGACATGGGTAACTGGGGGCTGGTCTTTTGGAGGGCGTATCTCTTGCTGTTGCTCATTCCATGTGTTCTGTGTCCCTGCAGCCATGAAGTGGAAAGATTTTTTTAAATATGTCCTTCCAGTATGACGTTATTCCTCACTTCAGACCCACTGTGGTAGAACCAGCCAACCATGCAGTGAAACCTCTGAAACCATGAGCCAAATAAACCATTTCCTTCTTTACAGTTGTGTACGGCAGGGATTTTATCCTAACAGCAGAAAAGCTGACTATTTTTCTTTTACTTATACAGTGGAACTTTTACATTGTTTATTCAATTTCTTGACCAAGGATCATTTTTCTGCATAAAATGGGAGATGCTGCCAACAGATATATTACATTATTGCACATTTTCTAAGCATATCATGAAATTTACTTAACTTTTGATACTATTTTCATGGTTCTTTTATCAAATTTTTTTTTAAAAAAATAAGGAAGGGGATTGTAAGAGGGATGCAAAGGGATTGAGAATGATCAAGGAATAATATCTGTATGTACCCATTCCTCAAAAAGAATGTAACCATCTTACACAACAATCACACAATAAAAACTTTTAAAAATGAAAAAATAATCTTTGACTTTGAAAAGCTTTTTCACATTTTTATCAGAATAAAATTTCCTTTCTCTACGACCAGTTACTGTATCAACTTGTCATTCTTGCCGTCTAATTTGGTTTTTATATTTCAAGATTCTCTAATTTGAGTTCTTAGGAGCAAGTTGTGTTCAATTAATCATTTTTACACTTAAAATTTAGCACAATTTCATGTACATATGAATGCCCAAGTGTTTTTCCTTGTGAGTTTAAGACTGACCTTCCTGAATTCTTCAGTGAAACCTAAGAACATGCAGCAAATGTTCTACCTCCCAGCATACACATTCCAAACAGGTTTGCTGAAACTACTGTATGATACAGACCCAAAGACAAAAATTACTACATAACACTGAGATTTCTATTGCATATACCTCCAATAATATACACTTGCCAAAAATGTTAAATAATTCTTCTAAATCTCAATGTTGTAAAAAAAAAAATGTTGATAATGCAAATTTGGTATTCAGTGGATAGTAGTTCTACATACTGAAAGATAGTAAAGAAGAATCAAAGCACAAAAAGGAAATTTTAAAAAGATTTTCAAGTATATTTTTAAGACACAAAGACTTAATGGAATGATAACAAAATTATTTTAATGCCAGTGAAGCAGGGAAAATCTGTAATTGGACACAATTGTTGTCCTTGTTTTCCATGGACCAGACTCTGGCTAAACCAGAGGATCTACATTTTAGGAAAGAAAAACAGATACATTTTATCTGTTATGTGAACTAGAGTGAAATCGTATGATGAGAATAAAGAACAAGAATATATATATCAGACAAAATAAATGGAAAACAAAACCACATCAAGGCACAATTTATAAAATGCTGAAAGCAAAGACAAGACAAAAATCTGAACATAAGAAGCTACCTTGTTAACATAAATAATGGAAACTGGAATTCAGCAGAATTTCACTTTGAACGTGACTAACAAATTTAAATTACAAAATGATATTGTGTGCTCAGTGGAAAACATCCTTCCAAAATTGAAATAAAATAAAAGCATGTTATGAAAATAAAATTCTGCCAGGGTCTTTAAGTCTCATAGCAATGAGGTGAAACCATGACTGGATGCCGGTGTGTGCGCCTATCGCTTAAGATTCACCAGTGTGTTGATAGAGTGCATAAGAGTAAGAAGCTTCAAGGATGACTTTAATTTTGTCTGCCTATTTTAGCTCTTTATTTTGACACATTTTCATACTTACAAAGGAGTCTGACAAAGTGGCACAAGAAATTACTGTAAATACATGACCTGTTACATTAAAATACCACATTTGTTATATCATATTAGTTCAGAGAATTTTGGAAGGTTATTTGTCAAAAGTCTTTAAGAAGTGGTTTGAGTTATTTTCCTTTAAAAAATATTTAAGTTGGGCATGGTGATGCACACCTGTAATCCCAGCACTCCAAGAGACTGGGGCAGGAGGATCACAAGTTTGAGACCAGTTAAAACAATTTTGCCAATTATCAAGACCCTATCTAAAAAAAGTAAGAGAAGGACTAGGATGTAGCTCCATGTGAAGGTCATGGATTCAATCCCAAGTACTGCATGGAAGGAAGGAAGGAAGGAAGGAAGAAAGGAAGGAAGGAAGGAAGGAAGGAAAGAAGGAAGGAAGTAAAGAAGGTAGGGAAAGGGAAGGGAAGGGAGGAGAGGGGAAGGGAAGGGAAGGGAAGAGAAGGGAATGGAAGGGAAGGCACAGAGGGAGGGCAGGGAAAGATGGAGGCAGAGAGAAAAGAATGAAAAGAAAACACCAGTAGTATTGTTCATAGATTATTATTAACCTTGAACTACTTCAAAGAAATTATATGACTGCAATACTTTTCAGCATCACCATTGGGCTGTACACTTAAATGAAGGATCATTTGTGGTTACAACTTTTCATGGAGGTTTTCTTGAATTCCCCTCCATTTCATCAAAGGTCTAGACTGACAGGGATTCTTGTTACCCTTTCCTGAACTGTAGGCCTTATTTTGTTGTTGTTGTTGTTGTTGTTGTTGTTGTTGCTGTTGTTGTTGTAGTATTTCATGAGCATATAGTTTTGGGGGAGAATCTCAGTTTTAGAAGGAGAACTCCACACTTCACCTTTCAAGTCAGGGAGGCCTAAGCTTTATCTTGTATTTCCAGTGCTCCATGACAACCCTCAAACAGAGACTAAAGCTCCTCAGGCTTATTATCATCTCTCACGAGAAAAGCCAGTTTCTATAGTTTCTGTTGCAATTCCTATTTTTCTTTAATCTTGATACTCTACAATTTTTACCTGCCTAGTAGATTTAACAATGAGTTACCCAAGTTGTAATATATTATACAACAATATTACCCAACCGTTCCCATTATACTTTAGTGAGATCTAATGTCAGCCTACCTTCCCCTCTGTCATAGTTTATTCAGGTTACTATAACAAAGTACCATTGACTGGGCAAGTTATGAACAACAGATATTTATTCTTCATGGTTCTGAAAAACAGCAAGAACATGGTGCTGGCATAGCAGGGTTCTGGTTAGAGTCCTCTTGTAGCCTGTACTTAAATAGAAAAATACTTGATAAATAGAAAAATATGAGAGAAATCGCTGAGGTTCCTTTTTTTATGGCATTAATCTCAGCCATGTTGGCTTTATCCTCTTAACAGAAACCACCTTCAAAAGTTCTACCTCTTAGTATCATAATATTTGGAGTTAAGGCTTCAAGTTTAAATTTTGGAGGAACACAAGCATTCATCTGTACTATTCTACCACTGAACCCTGAAAGTCAAATCCTTCTCATAGGGAAGAATACATAATTACAATCTCAATAGTCTTGACTCTTTCTTGGATCAGTTCTTTAGAATTTTAAGTCCAAGGTTTCATCCAAATATAATCTAAATCAGATATGGTTAAGAGAGACAAAACTCTTTTCAAGTTGTGGACTTGTCAAGTAAAATGAGGCATATGATTTTAAAATGCGGTGGTGTGATAGGCGCTGCATAGACATTCCCAACCCCAAATGGAGAAATAACAAAAAAGGAAGGGTGAGAGGTAGCCAGCAAGTTCAAGACCTGGGAAAGCTAAATCCAAGCTATCTTCCATCTCCAGAATAATCTCTTTTGGTTCCTGCTGTACCCTTTGTTCCTAGATTGTGCTGAGCTGGTAAAATCAGTCTTCACACAATCCTCTGCATGCAGACGTATGAGTAGGGGACTGAACAGTTTTCTGTGTAGCCTTTAAAGCTTGAACCATAGACAGCACACCTTCCATTCTGCATTTCCACCAGTGTGAGTCTGGAGAGAGGGAATTACAATTACTTCCATGGTTTTGTTTATACAGGAGTATAAAAATGAAATATTATTTACAGGGTTTCAAGTAGAAGAATGTAAATGATATTTTGGGAGATTCTGTGACTATGCCTGGCCTTCCCAACTCACAGACTTGAAAAGTAGAACATAGTCAGATAATGCAAATAAAACTTGTGTTCTATTATAAATTATGTGCCACTATTTTCTTCATACACTGGAAATCATCCAATTTTGAAGTCTGAAGTTCTTCATATATGTACCTGAATAAAATACAAACTCTGAAATGTTTAGTTAAAAACAAATATTTGCAAATGAAGTTAAAATTCACTTTACAATTCATCAGTTAGAGTTTTGTGCAAAAATACAAAAAATATTCTTCATGTGTAGTCATCCTGCTATATTATAGACTCTCCATCTGTGTATTCTGTTAATAGTGCTCTCCCTTCACGTATTTCGGATTCTTTCAAAAGGTTTTGTTATTCCCTAAATAATAGAGAAGAGCAGCTGCTTACATAACATTAGTATGCATATATTTCATTAGGTGTTATGAGTATCTTGTAGAGGTTTCAAATGCACAGGGGGATGTGTGTAGGGCATGTGCACACACTACAAAGGGGACTTCAGCACCCGCAGATTGATGTCAGTGTTCACGCAAAGTGGGGAGGAGTCTTGGAATCAACACCTCAAGAACACCAACAGTATGCAAATTTACTCAGTAAAGAAATGAAAATGTTTTAAAATCCATATGTGTGTAAGTATATACACAGATGAACAGGCATGTACATGTTTGTGCGTGCTGCCCTTTGTGTACGTATTCCATGAAAGATGTCTATATTTATATCTATGTATCTATCTCTGATTTCCTCTCTGTCTCTCTGTCTCTCCATCTCTGTCTCTGTCTCTGTCTCTATCTCTCACTCTTGCTCTTTTTCCCTCTCTCTCAGAGATCTTTAGATTTTGGAGTTATATTCCTGAAAATAATAATTGGGCTTTTTTCTTCTAAGAACAGGTCAGAACTAGAAGACTCAAGAAAGGGTGATAATGTTTCTTCAATATGAAACTGACCCAAAAAAAGACCATGGGTTGATATTATCCATATTTTAAAAAGGAGGAAATTTTGCATGTACAATAGAAACAATTGGCCACTATAGGAATAAAAAGTTCTAAGAGATTTTTAGTATTTGCACTGAGAGTGTCTCAATCTAAGCATTTTAGAGTCTCATTATTTTTTACGTTTTGCTCCCATTTTATGACTGTAAATATTGCTGAGGTGCAATTTGATGGTTTGGTACATGTATACACTATATACTGATCAAATTAGAATTGTTATCATATTCCTTATGTCATGCATTTATCATTTTGGAGTCCTGTAGCACCGTAGTTAACAAGTTATTCTATATTTTGCTACTGACTTTTATTGCTCTATTGAAAGGAACAGCTAATGTTTAAGTGTTTGATCAATCTTACATGTCTATGTTTACCTGAGTAACCAATTTGAAGATCTCAATATGTAATACGACAACCATTGTTAATTTCCTATCACCTTGTCTGAACTTTTATATTGCTTGTATTGCTTTTGTGTTATTTGGTAAATGTCTGTGTGTTTCTTAATATGTTTTCATTCTTTTATCTTTAAAAAAAATCTAGAAGAGATATTTGTGAATGTTCTCCACTGCAAAGAAATAATAGAACCATTTTTTCTAATTTCATTTTCTTCACGTGCTCCTTTGATTCGATTGTGTGTCTGTTTTGCCATACAACTCTCTTTACACTTCTGCTAGAGCCCTGATTACACTGCATCAACCTCGCTGTTTATAACTATTCTCTGACTGTAGTTTGAGGCTCTAGAAGGACTTAGGGTGTAGTCATCTCCACTCGTATCTGCCCAGGTCCTGAAAACTGAATCCACTCAACAATATTTACTACATAAATAAATAAAAATTAGTATGCTAATGGTTTTGCTTTTGAAAAGATTATTTGCACTTGAAATAGGAAAATATTGAGATGATATGACACAAAATTTATGGGTATTTCCAGAGAACAAAACCTCTTGATAAAATTAAAACCTCAAGTAATGCAAAAATGCATTTAATTCTAAGATAGACTCAGGCCTTTAAATCACAAATATTACACGAGGAAGCAAGATAGTACTCACTACTATGAATACGAGGGAAAATTTAAATAAAATTTACTACAAATGATAGCAACAGATTGTTCATTGGTCAATGCCAATTTGTCATTAAAGTACCAAAGTAAATTGAAAAATTAGTGGAAAGACTATTCTTTTCAGTCACTTAATGATAATTCTGATGCTAGAATCAGAAATATATGGATCTAAAACCCTGTGCTGACAATGATCAATTTTCTGGCTTAAATTAGTAATAATACTCTTTCTCTGTCTCTTACTAGCAGTCGGTAAAATTACTACCTGCTAATATAGAATTGTTAAGGGTAGATATGAAAAGATACACATAAAATATGAACAAGGGTGTCTGACAGGTAGGAATTAATTAATCAAGGAATTGACCCAACATTAGAATTAATGTGTTTATTGTTTTTATAATTTATAGAATTGGATATTCAAATAACTATTATACACTTGAAATAAATATTTTAAAGTATTTATAGTCTAGAAAACTGGGTTCCTTTGTGATAGTATGAAACCAAAGAACAGGAAAAGCAAAAATGTCAGATGGGTCTTTTTCTCAATATTTGTGCCAGAATGGATGAGTTACTGAGCAGTGTAGTGATGGGTCACATTTTTCAAGTGATAGAAATGACCTCTTTTGAGAGATATGCTAGCATTCACCCAGAAGATGAATGTTAGGTTCACGAGCTAGAGAATACTAAGGTGCTGTCGCTTAGCCCTGGCATGCAGAGATGTTCTGGGTGATGGAAAGAGCAAGCTACACAGAAAGGATATATGGAATACCTGAAGCCATATATATGGCTCCATAAAGACCAAGGTAACTGTAACTCCAAGAGACTAAACTTAAAATTAAAGAGTTGAACAAGTAAAGAAACTCAAAACCATACAGAAGGATCCTTTGAATATTTAGCAGAGTGCGACATGTTTTAATGCATGTATACAAGATAACTACTATTCAAAAACCAACAGAGAGGTTTAAAGGGAACAGAACCTAGCATTCACCTTGAGTCTGAAGAGTGCTTAGTTTTACTAGCCATCTTGTATGACTCATATTTCATAGAAAGTTTAAAAGAAGGGAAGAGATATCACAGACAAAAACAAGGATCTATGAAAAACAAAGTGTACCAGAAGTGGTGACATAATATATCATTTATATTTCTTCCTTAATACATAAAGCACTTAAAATATAATTGATGGCTTAAATGAAATTAATAATACTGTACTGTGAAATTTATAAAGTACATAATGGTATATGTATGGCTAAAGTAGCACACATTTTGAGAAGGGAAAAATGGAAGCTACTACTGTAAGAATCTTACACATGAGTGATATATCAATGGATAAATGAAACATATATGCAATAAACTAGAATAAGTCTAAAAACGATTAAAATATCTAGTAAACTGATACAAGAGAAAAATGCTAACATAGATTAAAATATTTTTACAAACTATAAAAGAGCCAGGTGTGGTGTGATAATTCATAAAATTATCAGATTTTATGAATAAAGTGAACTTCAACTGTACTTTGTCTACGAGACTCACTTTTAATATAAAGTCACATAATTTAAGTACCTATAAATTTAAAAATATATACCACATAACCTTAATCAAAAGGAAATTTGAGTAGCTACATTTATATTGGAAAAAGTAGAAATTCAACGCACAACATATTAGTTTAAGAGCTCATTACTTAGTGATAAGCCATAAAATAATGAAGAATATATAAATTTTGAAATTTTTATACCTAAAAACAGAGTTTCAAAGTATATTCAACTAAAACTATTTGAACTACAAATAAACATATCTATAATTATAGTTTTTCAATACTTCTATGTAAATAACTGATACCTTTATCAAAAATAATCAAATGAACAAAACCAAGCATTTACAGCAGTTCAAAAATGAGAACTAATTAAATATACATCAACAAACAAAAGGACAGACAAGTTGTGCTACATTTATAGCTGAATGTCTCCAGAGAATAAAAATAAATTAAAACTATTCATGCCTTGAGATGACTAACTCTAAAAATAATTAAGTGTAAAAATAAAACCAGCGGGGCTGGGGATTTAGCTCAGTGGCAAAAGCGCCTGCCTGACAAGCGCAAGGTTGTGAGTTCAATTCCTGATACTGGAAGAAAAATAAAGCAAAATAAAATGAGTGAATATTGCAGGACTCCAATTATATTAAATTCTTTTAAATTGCAAACCAATCTATAGTAGCAGGAAACAGATTAGTTGCCTAGAAACAAGAACAAGTATACAAGGAGGGGCACAATAAGAGATTACAGAGGTTAAAGAAAAGTTTTGCAGGTGATAGATATGCTAACTATTTTGATGTTAGTAATGGTTTCATGAATGTATACATTTATAAAAACTTATCCATATATACACTTTATATATGATCAGTTTCTGGCATGTTAATTATATCTCAACAGATTTAATAATAAATAAATAAAGAATTTGTAATCTACCTTCCTTCTCTTATGTGTAAAATGCTCATATGATCAGATTTACTTTGCCCACTACTTAGCATGTACTAAGCAATCTGTGTGACTCATTCATGTATTACTCATATTGACTGTTCTGTAGCACCGTCTTCTCAATTTATTTATTTATTTTCATTCAAAAAAATCCATATTGAAGTATAACTGAAATACAATGTATGTCTTCTCAATTTAAAGCTTAAATTTTATTTCAAAATCTCTTAGAGGATGGAAATGCCTGGGACTATGCAAAAGGAAATGTGATTGATAAACGAGCAAAGGGATAATTTAAAAGCAGACCCACAACTAGAAACCTAGTGCACCAGAGACTTACTGATCTGGGGAGAGAACTGAGCCGTCTTCCCAGTGCCAGGATCCAGTTTTGGGAATTTGTACGAGTCCCATCCAATGATACGACTTCACCAACTTAAGGAAATCCTATTTTAAACCACATATAAGTGCAAATAAGATCAGCGCTCAGAAAATATAAAGGTAAAGCTACACATACCCATCTTTCCTTGTTGAAATTGGGGAAAATGTATTTTGTCCCATAACTAGCATAATCCCCACCTAAGCACCACATGCACAATATCTGAAGTTTCTTAATTTTAGCACAGGAAGATTTGGGATGGGCATCAGAAGATCTAAGTCTTAGCGACTCCTTTACACTGCAGGCTGAAGTTCCTGTAAGTTAATGTGTGTATTAAGCTTTAATAAAGGAGGATTAAAGCAATTGCTCCACCTGGTCCACTCTGCTGTAGATCTTCAGAAGGCTGGAGTTTTGAGACAGACAAGAAGCCTGGCTCTGGTACCAGTTTTTGCTCTCGTTAAAAAATTGGTAGCAGCTGTTTCTATAGCATATCCAGTTTTTAGGACATGGGCCACAGTAATACTCTAGAAACATATAGAGAATATATTATTAGTTCTCTGCATGTCTAAACAACAGTGTATTTAATCTAGAAGAGTTATATGCCTTTCCCATTAAATTCCAAAATTCCAAATAACTAAACTAATGCATGGTCATGTCCAAAGCCCCATCTTTACACATTCATGGGAAGGAAGACGCCCAAACTAATGATTTTCTATTCTTTACAAGTTCTCCTTCACTGTTTAAAAATATAAAACCACCGGGAAATGCGGACAAAGATCAACTACTTCTTTTCTCTATTTAATGACATTGGGTACATATTATACCCCAGTAAATCCAGATATGAAAACTTTTGCTTCAAAAGACTAAATAAAGTTCACTTACCCATTGAAGGAAATGAAACTCCTTGGATGACTAATGCTATCAAAATAATTATAATCATTAAAATTATTATATAATTTTTACTAATAACATAGTTCAAGCAAAAACAATTGATAATTTTTTAGACTAATGGCAAATATATAGGAATATTAATTTCTAGTTTATGGGTTTTTGAATATTAATCAAAGTAATGCATTATAATTGTCTGATTAAGCATTGCAATCTAGTTCTTGGTTGTAACTTACAATTGGTGAATACGGCAGCCCAGATTGCTAACATAACAAGGAAACGGATCGCTATAGCTATAGCAAGGATATGACCAAGAGAAAATGGAGTCCCTGTCAAAGAAAAGATAGTATCAGGACAAAGTTGAAGACTGAAGGACCCAGGTCTCTTTGTGCTTCATGTAAACAGTAGGGTGCTTTTTATGAGAGAGAAGCATCAGTACATTTCTGTTTTAATTGCCTTTCACGCAGCAGGTTACCTAAGCACTTTAAAAATGACTAAAAGATAAGATTACAAGAAGGAATATTTTCTCCTGTAATTCTTTACAAGTTCCCTAGTCATCTTCTAAAATAAATCACTCTTACTAATTTTTATTATTTTATGTAGATGCAATAAGTATAAGCAACTTCTTCAACCAAGTTCTTAAAACCATACTTAAAAAATTACACAAATATTCCATGAAATTTCCTTCACTTCACACAATATCTTGGTGATTAAGCTGTATCATGATTTATGAAGATGTCAAGTTTTATAGTAATTGCATTGTATTTCCCTGTTAGCTGGGCAAACTTTATTTAGTTGGCAAAAGACTTTTTAATTTTTTTAACAGATATTTAAATTGTCTTATTTTTTGCTTTTTTCATATGTACTTGGACATATTTGTTAGTTATTTTCTGGGAGGATTTCTTGCTATGGTAATTACTGAGTCAAAGGTCAGTTTTTACAGTGACTGAAAATTTCAGCCCAAAAAGATTATACCAATTTGCACAGTAGCAAAAATAAGCTAAAAGTATTTTTTGCTGCATCTTTATGAGTAATTATTTTTATTTCTCTGAGATGTTTGCTTTTTATTATTAAGTCACTATTTTGTTTCTTATTTTTTAGACTGGGAGTATGACACCATTCCTCACCATATGTTTTGCAAAGATACATTTCAGATACCATTTCAGTTTTAATTTTATTTATGATAACTTCAAAGGGCTGAATGATTAATTTTTCTGTGGTTGACTTCGTCAAACTTTCCTTTATGGTTGTGTTTCATAGATATAAATAAATACTCTTTACTCTGAGTTAATGAAATTAACTATGCCCATGCCCCATGATAATGTTAAATAAATTCTTTTTTACTTGATCCATTTGATGTCATTGTCTGTGTGTGTATGAGAATTATGTTTGGCAGGAGATCAAGTTTATAGTTATTTTGTCAAATGAGCTTTGAAATTTTCTAACTACTTGCTGGATAAACTAATGTGCCCTCACTGACTACAATACACCATTTTTAACACACAGTACTGTATATCTTTCTGTGTACTTCGTTTATTTCTATTAAATCAGTATGCCCATTCACTATGTGTACAATTTACCTTTATGAAATGCCTGAATATTTAATAATGCCTGTTATGTTTTAATACATTTCTTTCTCCAGTGATTTTAGGTATAATTACACTTTAGTTATGACATACAAACTTTAAAGTGAGTTTCTCCAAGGACATGCTAATTCTAAAATTGATATATTGACTATAGATACACAGAAATGATTTATGTCTGCCAAACATTGACTTCTATTCTTGAATGATTTCTATTTCATTCAGCATATTTATTCTTTGTTTAATAGAAATCCAAATTAATAAATTTTTAGCCTTTTTTAATTTAAAAAGTTTATTTATACTTTTTCCTGTGAAAATATATTTCATTCCATCATATTTATAGTTAAGAAGACAATCAATTTTTATATCTTAGTTTTCCACTAAGTATTCATGCGAGGGTTATTGCTGCTTGTAATATTCAGGGAAAATATACGTCCATATTTTATTTCCTTTAATACATTTTGAAGGTATACTAATTTTGTCTTTTAATTTTAGCTTTACACCAATTTTTCTTGATTTGTTACTTAACATCAGTGAAAAACATTAATATTAAACAAGAGTAAAAAAAATATTTGTCTTTTTATAACTATAATGAAAATTCTAGCATTTTATGGTAGGTATAATGATGTTTTAATGTGTATATCATCTCTGTATAAATATATATAAAGATTTCTGCTGGGGCTGGGGATTTAGCTCAGCGGCACAGTGTCTGCCTGGCAAGCACAAGGTCGTGAGTTCAATTCCAGGTACCAGAAAAAAAAAAAAAAAAAGATTTCTGTTGATTTTTATCCAATATCATTTCAACATTATTTGTACATTAATGTTACCTTTCTCTTTTGATTAAAATATATGCCATATTTACATTCTTAAAATTACCCCCTTGTAATGACATTTCTTAATAATTCAGTTCTTAGTTTTATAATCAAAATTAGTAGATGAAGGTGATATAGATATTAGCTTTTGGGCATCAGCTTTCTCAAATTGTAGTATTAATAACCAACTTGGAAAGAGACATTTGAGGTCTATCTTCTGTATTATATTCAGAAACATTTCTGTAAATAGCCGTCAGGTCACTTCTTCTACATCATTTAAGAACGGTACTTATGAGAGTTTCAAATTTTTCTTTTTTCCTATTTCCTGTTCCTATTTATTGTTTCTTAAAGGTAATGACTCAATGACTACTCAAATCTCCTGTTCCGTTGTAATTATTATGATAAATAATCTCACCCATTTGGGGCCCGAAAGACTAACTTATTCTAATTTTATTATATATTCAGGTTTCTTTTAGAGTAAATGTCATCTCTCCGTTTCCATCATGAATATAAAATAAACTGAATGTCGCTAATTTAATCGCATAATTTCCAAAATTCACCTCAGTACACTGAGAAATATCAAAAGGAATATTCGACTTACCATTTTGCCTACGTGTGCCTGTAATCAGTGTAGATTTATGTTTTTGCCTTCGTTTAGAAGTATCATACGTTGCTCGCTGAAGGTTATAATTTTGCAGTTTTCTCATCTCTGGAGTGAAACAGTTCAAGCCAGTATGAGTTCTGTCACTTAGGCCATAATATCTTTACATTCAACCTGACACGTCCAGAATGTACTTTCCACCAATGTCCGTTTTAAAGTATAACATAGGCTACCTTTTTGAAAATTTTGATCCACTGTGTTTCGCTTAGCCTTCATTCTTTGCATCTCCTTTATTTCGACATGCAAATCTGGCATTTTAAGATGTTCTATTTTCCAAAAGGACTCATCATCAACAGCTTCTGACAGAGTGAGCAGTAGGAGGCAGTGTCTGAAGACCAGTTAGAGAAGAGCAGATTACCTGCCAACGGAAACTAGCGCATTTCTGGAACTATCCTCAGATTCTTATTTGGATTGAAAGCTTGAAAGAAAAATCTATAGTAATTACTTTTTGTTTCCCCATGCTACCTCCAGTTTAATAATACAGAGAGGGTCGTTGTTGGAGATTAAAAGCTCATTCTTTTTTTAATATAATAGCAATATTTATTTGACAGTTTAATCTAAAAACTTTGTTTCTGTTTTACTGATTCTTTTTTTTTTCTTTGACAGTTTCCAATCAGATTTCATTGATAAATTTTAGTTATGTATAATGAGTACTTTCATCGTAGAGTTAGCATCTGTACATCATATAACTTGTTTCTTTTTTTCCCCCATTCCCCCACACTCCTTTCAGCCCCTTCTCCCCTCCCCATTTACAAGAGATTTGTTTCCATTTTTTTACTTTTCCTTCTTCCCTTTCCTCCTGCCCTGCCTGTTCCCCTCTCTATCTGAACATTTTCCCCCTATTCCACAATACCTGTTATGCATTTTGGTCCTTATTTACACTTTTGGTTTCTCACACCAGAGAAATAATGCAGTATTTACACTGATCTGATTCATTTTTCTTAAGAGTATGGACTCAAGGTCCATCCATTTACCTAGAAATGTCTCAAGGTTATCCTTTATGGCAGAGTAGTATACCATTGTACAAACAAAGCCACGTCTTCTTTATCCAGTCACCAGCTGATGGATGTTTCGGCTGTTTCCACAATTCAGCTATTACAAACTGTGCCGCTATAAACATGGGTGTGCATATATCGCTGCAGTATGCTGTAAAAGCTCATTCTTATAGTTTTAAATTTGTGTACAATATCAATATCTGTGTCATTTTTAACTAGAATCACCAATGGGGCTTCTGTCTGTCAGTCTGTCTTTCTCTGTCCCTTCTGTAACTTTTGACGGTAAAATGAAAGTCTCATGTGTTTAGAGACCACTGAACACTTCAGAATACTATTTGCCAAGGAAAGGATATTCTCTTATATAACCAAAGCAAAATAGTCAAACCAGAAATGTAATATTGGTACCATACTGTTATTTAACACATGTTCCCTGTATAAATTCTATTGATTGTCCTAATAATATCCTTTAAATGATTTTTATTTTCCCATGCCAAAAGGTAGCTTCAGACCATTGATTGCATTTAGCTGTTGCTTTTTTTACCTTCTTTCATCTGGAAAAGTTTCTCAAATTTTTTTTTATTAGTGCACATTGGTAATCCAATAATAAGATTGGTACAGGTACAGAGCATATTTTGACTATTTCTGTCCTTATTTTCCCCTTGTCCATCCCCCCTCGTCCCTTGAACTCCTTTCTCATCTCTGAAAGTCTGTCTTCCAGCTTTCTAACACTGCTAAATACCTTTGCTTTACATTACTTCATTAGTATGGTTCGGTTTAACTATACTAGGTTAAGATTGTAATTATTCTAGTCAAAAGCATTCTTAGAAAGAGTTTATTTACTTTTAAAATGAGTTAATGGATATGAGTTAATGAGATCTAACATTAAAATAAAGATTGTATGGTAGAAAAACAGGGGCAGAAGGGCAAAAGGACAGAGACATATATTTACATCATAGATACTGATTTATTAATTTGATAGTGCACAAATTCTTTAGCTTTTGCACTTGAGATTACTAATTTGCAAGAGAAAGAAAGTAAATAAAAAATATCAACACATTCCATTAGAAATATTTTTAATGAAATAAAATATGATGAACTTAGTCTCATTGACATCAGTTGTGGAGAAATATTTAGTAAATACTTGTGTGTCTAATTTTCTGGATAGTGGAGAACACACAACATCTAAAATGGGTTCTAAAACTTTTGCATAAAGAAAAAAGAAGAATGCTGGTTCTGAAGAAAACAAATAAACTATTTGTCTCCATTAGATTATTAATAATTTATTGAATACTTAAAAGCCTTTAATAATTGATATAATACTAGTTATCTTTTTTAACCTAAAAATTAAATTTCAACATTGCTTGCACACATATAATGCAACTACTAAATCTGAAGAAAAGATGGTAGATATAACATCATGGATGAAGAAATTGAATATTAAAGATGGCAAAAATCATATTGATTAATATAATGCTGTTAATTATGAGTAATATATAATAATTTTAGGATAAAAATACTTTCAATTTTTTTATAACTTGATTTGAATATTTTAGATGTTCGTTAAGATAAATATGACATATTTTATTTCACTATTTGTTAGAAAAAATTAAAGAGTAGAAGGGCTCTGGACTGCTCCTATTTCAGAGCCAAAAAGTGGTAAAATTTGATTAAAATTCAGTTTTTCTGCTTCCAAATCCTAGTGGCATTTCACTACTTCAAGTTACTTTAAACTGTGAATGATTTCCATAGTAGATGATGAAATGAGAGAAAAATCACTTCAGTTTTTGAAGACTTAATTTAAAATAAAATCTGCGTACTTTAAAAACATACAAAAGCAGAAGCAGACATTGACATAGAAGTACATACCCAGGCAGTGATGACGCCTCTAATCACAAATCAGCCCCAGTATGGGGTGATGATTGTACATTTGCCCTAGAGATGAGTCTAAAGTCTTCCACCCACAGAAAGTTCTAAAAAAATAAAATTAAGCATTTATTTTTTACGGGTCATTTTGGTGGCTAAATGAAATATTTTGATTGGAAAGATGACATACAAAAAATGTCTCCAGATATATAGCTTTAAAAAATAAAAAATGGAGATAATTCATATATATATAAATAAAAATACTTTTATAATTTTCTGTTGGTCATGAGATAATGGACAATTATTTCAACATGTCACAAAGTATATGATAGGTATTTTAAATTTGCCTGCATTAGGAAATTTGATCAAGGACATCTGACATCATTGACACAAAATAACAAATGTAGTTTTCTGTTTATAGTTTTCATTTTATTTTAATAATTGGCTTCTTTTCAAGATAATCTCATGACAGATATATGTACTTTTATTGGATATTTTTACCCATCATGTTTTAATTCAACTTTTGTCCATATCATCACCATTATCAAGAGCAACAAATTCTCATCACCCTCGTCATGAACAAACATAACCTAATATATGATAATATACAACTAATATTTTACAATGTCTAGCAGAGCTCTTGGAAAATATAGTTGTTTCATAAATGTGCATAGGACTTACATTTTAAAAATAAAACTACTCATATTTGATCACAGTATTTAGAAAAAATGGATCTGACTTATTTCCTTATTTAATCTTGTATGGTGTGTATTCCAAAAGAAAACACATGTAAGAATTCACAATGAAACTCACTCTGTCTAATTTCAAATGTAAAGAATCATTCGTATAGTTATGATCAGAGGCAAGACTTGTCCTTATGGCCACATCAGAACTTCTGATTCTTCAATAAGTATTCTAACTACGTATCACTGGATGCTGCGTAGAATACACCTCAGAAATGGTAAGCACTCTTGGTCATCAGCACTTCTATTCAAACACTTAAGAAATAGAATTACCTTATAATGTAAATATTATGCAACATAATTTGAGCTTAAAACAGCCTCCCCCAGCACACACACCTGATTAGAGAAGGAAGATCCTGATTCTGGTGGATAAAAGACTTCTACAGAACTAAACGCTTTAGACATCATCTGAGTTCCTAATTTAAAATTGAAAGCAGAATTGTCTGGTTGATTTCAATCTCCAAGAAACACAGCACAAGTGTCATTCTCATCTCTTCTTCCTGTGAAGAAAATGTAATACAAATCGCAATACTTTCATCTTACAACTACACAAAAAAATTTGTCTAATTTGATGAGTAAGGTGTAGCTACCCATTGACTGGTAAATGTTAGGTTCTAACACTTAAGACTTGAAAATGGTGAGTCTAGTGATGACAATTAGAGTTTTGAGAAAAATGATAGGATTGTATAATCTATTTCTAAATCAAAGGTAAAATAATTATAAAAATATGATTATAATAATTACATGAAAATAAGCAGAGAAGAAAGTTAAAGCTCAGGTCAACTGTGCATAGACTTATAAATTTGAACAAAATCAAGTATACTCCATTAGGTAGGCCAGAGCAACAAAGGGGTATCTTTTGTGCTCACACACAGAAAAACACACACATGTGTGCAATATTCCTTTCATTATTAAAATATAAAATGTATAAGAATCAATTCTGTGAGTTATCATATATTTAGCTTTAATAATTACCAGCTTATCGTTAATATTTATTTACATATAATGCATGTGAATGCGACAGGTCTATGTCTTCCTTTTATCTTTTTTCCTTATAGATATCGCTTTTTTTTTTTTTTTTTTTTGAGACAGGGTCTTGCTGTGCAGTTCAGGCTGGCCTTCAGCTCACATTGAAGTCCAGGCTGGTCTCGAACTTGCAATGATCCTCCTGTGTCTTCCTCCCAAGTGCTAGGATTACAGGCATGTGCCATCACGCCCAGCTACATATCACTTTTATATAACTCCCTTTTTATTCAGCAGAACAACTGTTGTGATATGTTAAACTTGGACAACAAACAAATTTATCCAATACTTCAGCGAACATTGTTTGTAAAGAGCTTTTATAGGTTGTCAGAATGTTGAAGCAAAAAATCCAGAGAAATGTGCTGCCCTAATGGAGTTTGTAATTTTAGTTCAGGTGACAGAAAACAAGTATAGCGCAAATTCAAGAATAAAACTGAAGTGAATATAAATCAATTTGAAAAAAAAAGAGAATAGTGTTATTTTCTGACATTCTTATACCAGTATTCTTTTCAGCTGATCAACGTTTTCCTTTGACTGTTGTGTAGAGTTCAAAGTAATCTGAATGGGGAAAAAAAGAGAAACTGGCATTTTTTATAACCATAGTTTTACAGATAATTGGTTTTTAAAGGGGAATGAATAGATGTTTCCAGGTGGCCCTTCTTATGGGGATGTAAGAATCACACATACTTGGAAGAGTTATTTTTTTATTTACAGCTTTAGATTTAATTGCGATTATTTGTCTCAAATCCAATATTGCAAAAAGAGACACAATATTGTAAAAATAGAGTATTTAAAAGTATCCTACTCTAAATATAGAGTATTTAAAAATATCCTAGGGATATAGCTCAGTGGCACAAGTGACTGCCTGGTAAGTGCAAGATCCTGAGTTTGATTCCTGGCACCAAAAAATAAAAATAAATAAACACATTCTAGCAACCCCATTTGATTAAAATAGCAATTTACAGCCTATGGGGAACTCACAAAGAGAAGTTCTCCTAAATAAATACCATAATAAAGCTCAACACAGGGGCTTTTTGCCACAAATATGTTAACAAAACTGACAAAGTGTGGAAAGATTATTAAAGAGAAAAAACAGTACAGTTAATCCTGTATAATTAGTTAAAAAAATTACTTAGACAAAGAAACACTATGCTCAAAGAAACTCCAGTTTATTTCTCCTGCTGAGCATGGGCTGTCTCTACAGTTGTCACAATGGGAATTTTATTAGTGATTTGCTGATCATTCCTTTAGGAAAATATTATTTTAATAAAACAACAAACACAAATTTATGCACAAATAGTATTTGACTATACAAGTAAATGTACGGCCTTTATATGGAGATATTTATTCAACCTCATAAAATTCTTGCAGAAGAAAAATTATAATGCTTTGCAAACACCTTGGGTTCAAGTCCTGTGGGAACGAACACCGCAGCAACATTCAGGAAGTATTTTTGTCAGGTGAGAAGAACCGCCAAGGCCTTACTAAATGGCCTTCTTGACCGCTAAGCCTCAGGCTGGCCTTCACGGTTCAGTGCGCGTAAAGCCCTTCCTGTGTAGCCCGGGTGGTGGAAGTGCTGCGACCGCAAGTGTTTCTGTGGTAACAAACAGGGAAGTGAGTGGGACACTTGCTATGAGCTGCTCTTGCTAAAAGTGGATGTAGTCAGAGGTTTTTACAGCACAGCAGACAAGAAATGAAAGTAAAATATGTGTGCTTATGGCTAAGTGAAAATTTTATAATCTTGACTTTTCTGTGAATGACAATAGACGAGGGCAAGTGTAAGGTAAAGAAAATGGTAAAGATGATGCATACTTTTTCAAAGCATTTTATTTCTTTGCATTAGCCTGTACTAATATTAATGGCCTCAGCCTGAATTTTAACGCATACTTAGAGCACACGCTGATTGAATCCAGTATTCCTTTATCTTAGAGAGTAAAGGCCATTCTGATGAGGTCTTGGACATAAAAGAGAAATGTCTTATTGAGAACTGGAGGGAAACACATCATTAATCATATTTGCAAAGTTTGGCTGACTTGTGTTCCTGTCCTGGGGCTTTGCGCTAGGCATAATTTAAGAGTGATGACATAAGATTTCTGGGGGAAGAGAAAAGAGGCTGCACTGTTACCTTTGATTACCTTGAGTAATGCGAGAGAAGGAAGGAAACCCTTAAGAATAACACTTAAGAATAGAATTTATAATTTTTTTAAAAAGCACACTGTAAAAACATTGAAAAGTCATGGTCTGGCTATGTGAAGATTAAAAATCAGTGCACAAGTGGTCTGAGTGATTGATTACTAAAAAGATGATCGTGAATGGAAAAGAACAAGGTGTTATTGTCAAGACAATGAAAAAAAAAAAAAAAAAAACCACCCAAATCCTTTCAGTGACCTATGAGGTCATCCTTTCTTCACCAGCCCAGAGCTTTAGAAGGGCAGAAAGGTTTTGGGGGACTGGTCCAGGCCATCACACATAGGCTCACTGCACAGCACGGCCTTAAGACTTTGCTCCCCACACTTTAAGCAGTTCATGGGTTATGTGAACGAAGACTTAGGCAGCCCCAGGGCAGTTCACATTGTTGCTCAGAGGGCTTAAAACATAAACTTTGGTGGCACTCAGCGAAGGCTCAGGTGGTTCCAGAAATAGCTCTTGACTTAGCTCTATAAAGAGCAAGCATTAAACCTTGGTGGCATCCACATCCACATGGCATTAACTGTGCAAGAGTGCGGAGTGCAACAGCAATGACAGTGTGGCTTTGCTGGATGCATCCGATTGCCTGGAGGCTTGGGCAGGAACTGGCTGCAGAAGTGGTGCTACCACATACAGTCTCCATTATGACAGTGACTAGGGGAATCAAGAGAGTGTGGTTGCAGCTCCAGAGCAGTAGAGCCACTGGTAGCATGTAATGCTTGGCTGGGACAGATGTAGGCACCAATGCACAACTACAGCCCGAGAGACTTGGAGGAGGAACTGAACTCAGCAAAGCCATAGAAGTGAAGCTGCCTGACGTTTGGGAGTCCTGACTTTCCAGGGTCTCCAGGAGACGGAACATGGAATGAAAGAGCGTTCTTAATTAAATCTTTAAGATTATTCTCTGCTCTCAGTGTTTCCAACTTCCTTGAGGACTATGGCCCATTCTTTTGGCCTGTTTCTTTCTCCTGGAAGGAAACTGTAAATGCCATCCTTGTCTCACTACTATGTATTGGAAGTGATGACTTATTTGGATTTCACAGGCTCACAGAATGACACAGCTTTAGTTGTTCCTCTCCAAAACGCCATAATGGTATGGAGAGGGGCTGGAGATTTGAAGAAGTAATTAGGTTGTGAAAAGGAATTAGTACCTTTTTCATGAAGTGCGTTCTCACTGTTTTATATTCACTTCCTTTTCATTTGCCTATGATGAAGCATGAAGCCTTCATTAAAAGCTGAGCAAATTCCAGGACCACGGTATTGGATTTCCCAGTCTTCTAGAATCATGAGCCAAAATAATGATAAATTTCCCAGTGTTATGATACTTTTTTTGCAGTAGAAAATGGACTAAAACACTCACTTTGGCAGGAAAAGTGTATTTCAGCCTCCTCATCTTTAAGAGCTGTAAAATTTTCAACTGTCATCGAATTAGCCATGCTTTGACTGCCCATGAACTTTTGGTCACTTGTTATACAAATTTAACTACTGCATGCACTATAATTTATATAAATATATTTTATGAAATTAGTCTTGAGTATTCATTTATTTTATTTATTTGAATATAAAGAATAAATATACAAAGTATAGAGGATCTCTATTCAGAGAGATAAATATGTATGAAACATAATTTATTTTTCAAGTAAAAATAAACACTATTTTTATTTAAAATGAATTGTAGTGAGAATTTCTCTGAATCATTAAATTTCTAAAATACAGTCCTATTTGTGAATAATTAGATGCTTGACTCATACAATTACTTATCATTTAAAATCATTTGTATTATTTAACAATTTTTTTCCATCAATGCATCTTTTCTAAGAAAAAATGGCAGAAAGACAAAGAAGAGAATTTAATAAAACAGGATATCTTCCCAAATATCTGAAGTCCAGTGGAGGGAAAAAAAAGGGACATATATATCTAATGACATTAGCCGTTATGTAGAGAAAACAGTCTCTACCAGAAAATGGAAATTACCATTGAAAATAATGTAATAAAACAGATTTAGGAGACATTTTTCATCCCATTCCTTAGTGGGGGAAGATACAATGGCTATTATAATGCAATCGTGAAGTTGTTGTAAAGTAACCTTGTGTGTCAGTTCACCATTTTATTTCCTCTCAATGCCAAATCTACCCTACATCCTGCATTATACCTGCTGAGACAATGGAGCTAGTGCGCTGTACTTTTCTCCCTTGGTAGCTTAAATGATGTTTTGGCAGTAAGACATCCTGGACAGAGACTGCAGGAAA